CAAAGTTTTAATTCTCTTCTTACAGATAACAAAGAAATTGTCCCATTTTATTTCTCCCAGTTGCTTGCTCTTGGTTCAGTACAAACCACGTTTTGTGTCTTAAAATGTAACACTTGCTAATTGTTAATCTAGCCCTTTGCAAACCTTGTATTGTTTAACCTTGTTTTAAAAAATAGCTGGCATTGCTATTAGGCCAAGATTTCCTGGTTTATATAATAACATTCTGGGCATCAGAGCTACTAGATGGTTTTCCTATAGATTCTTTTTTTTTTTCGCTTTTAGAACTGTTATTTAGCATCATGCCTGAAATACAGTCAGAAAGAACATTTAGCCCTCAAAGTTCGGTCATTCAGTACAGTACAGGTGGTCCTCGACTTACAGCCATCCATTTAGTCACCATTCAAAGTTACAGTGGCACTGAAAAAAGTGACTTATAACTGGTTTTCACACTTACAATTGTTGCAGCATCCCCCTGGTCACGTGATCAAAATTCAGACGCTTGGCAACTGACTCATATTTACGACGGTTGCAGCGTCCCGGGGTCACGTGATCCCCTTTTGCGACATTCTGATGAGCAAAGTCAATGGGGAAGCCAGGTTCACTTAACAACCTTATTGCTAACTTAACAATTGCAGTGATCCACTTAACAATTGTGGCAAGAAACTGTGGGACAAAACTCACTTGACAAGTATGTTGCTTAGGAACGGAAATTTAGGACTCAATTTTGGTCGTGAGTGGAGGATTATCTGTAATTCAGTGGTTGGAATATTAAATTAAGAATGCAAAACAAAAAGGGAATCCTTGTTTGATTGCAAGGTGATTTTTATTCTTAGACTGTTCGGTTTATTTGGCTTTATCAGATTATTAATAAGGACACGCAGCTTTACATTCTTGGTGGAAACATAGAGGGATTCAAACGTTTCTGGGCCATTGTCGGCTTTGTAAAATTAGTGCAGCAAATTCCAGTAGTAGCAGGTTGGTGCTCTAGGTGTGAAAGTACAGTTCAGAAGTAGCCTTGTGGATCTATCTCTGCAGATCTAGCTGAGTTATAGCTGCAAAGCTAAACAAACATGGATATAATTGGGTCATGGGATCAAGTTATGCAGTATTGTAGGCTAAGGAACATGTTGCAGATATTTCTCAGTTTTTCTTTTTTTCCCCTTTTGTGTCCAAAAAGGTATATGCAGTGGCCATGTTTAATCAATAGGCAGATTATCTAAGAACATAGAAAACAAATTAATGTCAGATTTGAATTTCTTAAGCTTGGGAGTTAACAAGTATGTTTGTCTAATGTTTAAGCTACTTGAGTTCCCCGATGTTACTGTAATAAAGAATAAAAGAATAACAGAGTTGGAAGAGACCTTGGAGGTCTTGTAGTCCAACCCCCTGCTCACGCAGGAAGCCCTATAGTAGGGCCTATACCATTCCTTACAAAGGCTGTCCAGTCTCTTCTTAAAAACCTCCCAGTGTTGGAGCGGCCACAAGTTCTGAAAGCAAATTGTTCCACTGATGAATTGTTCTCACTGTCAGGAAATTTCTCCTTAGTTCCAGGTTGTTCTCTCCTTGATCAGTTTCCATCCATTGCTTCTTGCCTTGCCTTCTGGTGGAGAAAAGGTGGACCCCCCTCTTCATTGTGGCAGCCCCTCAAATATTGGAGCACAGCTATCATGTCACGCCTAGTTCCTGCAACCCATTAACTATGTTTTAGCCTCCAGCCTCCTAATCATTTTTGTTGCTCTTCTCTGCACGTTTTCTAGAGGAATAGAATAGAATAGAAAATATAGAATAGAATAGAATAGAGAATTGAATGCAGAATAGAATAGAATAGAATAGAATATAGAATAGAATAGAATATAGACTAGAATAGAAAATAGACTAGACTAGAATATAATATAGAATAGAATATAGACTAGACTAGAAAAATAGAATAGAATAGAATAGAATAGAATAGAATAGAATAGAATAGAATAGAATAGAATAGAGCAGAGCTGGAAGGGACCTTGGAGGTCTTCTAGTCCAGCCTCCTGCTCAAGCAGGAGAACTATCCTATATCATCTCAGACAAGTGATTGTCCAGTCTCTTCTTAAAGACCTCCAGTGATGGAGTGCCCACGATTTCTGGAGGTAAGCTGTTCCATTAGTTAATTGTCCTCACCATTAGGAAGTTTCTCCTTAATTCCAGGTTACTTCTCTTTTTGGTCAGTTTCCAACCATTGTTTCTTGTCCTGCCCTTTGATGCTTTGGTGAATAATGTGACCCCCTCTTCTTTGTAGCAGCCCCTCAAATACTGGAATGCTATCATGTCACCCCTGTTTCTTCTTTTCTTTAGACTAGCCAAACCCAAATCCTGCAGCCGTTCTTCATATGTTTTAGTCTCCAGGCCTTGGATCATCTTAGTTGCTCTTCTCTGAACTTTTTCCAAACTCTCAACATCTTTTTTGTGATATGGTGACCAAAACTGGCTGCAGTATTCCAGGTGTGGTCTTACTAGGGTTTTATAAAGCGGTACTAATAACTTTGCGTGATCTTGATTCTATGCCTCTGTTTATACAACCCAGGATTGTATTAGCTTTTTTGACTGCTGCTGGATAGTGCTGGCTCATGGTCAAGCGATCGTCCACCAGGACTCCAAGGTCCCTCTTGCAGTTACTGGTATGGAGCCAGGAGAACAAGAATGAAATAAGGCTGCTCTGTCCCTTTCAGAAAAGAAATGTCTTCATTACATTGCAAACTGCTAACTCTTTATCTATCATCAGTCTATATTTTGGGTTTCCTGGTAGTCATCAAGGGTGACTTTTATGCTCTACTTCTTAGCATTGTTGATGTGATGATACTCTCTAGTTAGAATAGCTAGCCACCAGGTGTTTCTAGACATAGACCAACAAAAAGCTATCCAGTTTTGTTTCCTTAGGTAATGTAAATCGTAATACATTTCTTGGATGGTATCAAAAATAACATTATGGGGACTTTTAGCATCTTACCTGGATAAATAGGGTTTTGTTTCCTTTTCTAATGTGTTTAGGTTATTATAGTGGCATAGTTGTTGAAGCAGATTGGTTCCAGGTCTCTATTAAAAGAATTTTAAGAACTGAGTCATCAGGCCATGTGTTACTCTTGAGAAGCTGCAACTGAGTCTTTGGTTTTGCATATATGCCATCGGTGCAGAGTTTCCATCCGTTCTTATTTGAAGCAGAAGTGCTTTAAATAAACAAAGATAGGTAATTGCACCCAGAATGAATTAATGGCACAATAAGCACAAATCTTTCCAGTGAACTGTTTAAACAGGCAGAGCACCTAAGGAGGAAGAAACATGTTGTATAGAGGAAATGAACTGTCATACATGCCATCACAATCCAATTTGATTTTGTAAGCTGTTTGTCAGATCAGTACCAAAGAAAACACCACTTCTTTGGCATCCGCTTGACTGGAACTGCTACTATTATCCCGCTATAGTAATGCGAATTTTATGGTGCTCTCTGAGCTTGTTTGTTTCCTGCAGACATTTTGTTACCCAGCTAGGTAATATCATCAGTGAAAGGGAATGTAGGATTTGCCCCCTGTTTATATATAGTAGCTTACCCTGCCACTGTTGGTGGAGGGTGGTTTTGCTCCTTCCAAGTTCCTTGATCAGAGTATTGTTTTCTACTGGATGGTTTGGTGTTGATCCCTGCTTAACTAGGTTTATCTCTATATTGTCAGTCATCCATAGACACAGAGACACCATAAACATGTCAGCCATCCATAAAAAAACCAACGAAATAAAATGAACATGTGGCAGTCGTTCATAAATACATAGACACAATAAACATGGGCCAGCCACCACATAGGGGAATCTAAGATAATCCATCACGGGACAATTCAATGCTATATTGTTTCATTCATACTTTTATTATTGGTGACCACGTTTTGGTCAAAATGACTGTAGCTCTCATATTTCTGGATTGACTTTATTATTATTGCCCGTGTTTCCGTCGAAATTACTTTAACTTTTGTACAGGCAGTCCTCGACTTACGACCACAATTGAGCCCAACATTTCTGTTGTTAAGTGAGACATTTGTTAAGTGAGTTTTGACCCATTTTAAGATTTTTCCTGCCACATTTGTTAAGCGAATCGCTGTAGTTCAGTGGTGGCGAACCTATGGCACGGGTGCCAGAGGTGGCACTCGGAGCCCTCTCTGTGGGCACTCGCGCCGTCGCCCCAGTCCTAGGCCTTCATCTGGGTTTTATAAAACCTTTTTGCTTTAGGCCTCTGCCGCTGTGTGCAAAAAAAAAAAAAAGTTTCAATCAGTCAATTTCAACTTCTCGCGGGGAAAAAAAAGATCTTGCAAAGTTGATTGAACTTTTTAGTCCCACGGAGTCTGCCATTACCATCGCAGCCACGCCCACCCAATGGGCCATGCCCAGCCAATTGGCCACACCCACCCAATGGGCCACACCCACCCGGCACTCGACGATGCATAAGTGGGTTTTGGGTTGCAGTTTGGGCACTCAGTCTCTAAAAGGTTCGCCATCACTGCTGTAGTTTGTTAAATTCCTAACACGGTCATTAAGCAAAACTGGCTTCCCCACTGACTTTGCTTGTCAGAAGGCTGAAAAAGGGGGTCGCATGATTCCGGCACACGGCAACCGTCCTAAGTACAAGTCAGTTGCCAAGCGCCCGAATTTTGATCCCGTGACCACGGGGGATGCTGTAACGGTTGTAAGTGTGAAAAACGGTCATAAGTCACTTTTTTCAGCGATGTTGTAACTTCGAACTCTCACTAAATGAACTGTTGGAAATTGAGGACTGCCTGTTTTTGTTGAAATGCCCGATGCCGAGTTGGCCTTGGTGAGATGTTCCAATCTGTAGACATTGAAAAGAGACAATAAAGAAGTAAGAAGGAAACAGAAGGAAGAACTCGGGAAGAAAGGAAGACATTCTCTCAATCAGCCAGCACCCAGATAAGCAGGGATTGACACAAAGGATCGCCCGAGCAGAAAACAATAATCAGAGAACTAGCATGGGGGAAACCCGCCCCTTCGCCAACACTGGCAGGGTAAGCTACTGTACATGAACAGGGAGCAAGCCCCCACTCACTCACCCTGATGAGGTTACCTAGTTGGGTAATGAAATGTCCGCAAGAAAAGCACCACGCTCAGAGGGCAGCAAGGACTGCACAGTTCAACCCTGAGCTACAAATATTTTCTTCTAGTGGAAGTATGAGTTTTCGTTTTGCAAAAGTTTTTAAGGACTTTCTACATGAGTGAGGCATGCAGATCCATTTGTATAAACATAAATCACACAGTCAGCCTGCCAATATCAAAATAGGCCACAGACCAAATTTCATGTGCATCCTCTTTGCCCAGGAAATGTGATGCAGGAAATGGTTTGAACGTGGTGTGACTCCTTACCGATCTTTGGAGTTGGTGGAGTCCAGACTCCAGGCACAGATTCAGAAGGATGATGGATTCTGTTGCGTTGGCTGCAGAAAACTTCCCTGACTACCCATTTGGAAACCCTTCAGTTTGGAAAATCCTCCCTTCTCATTTCTGCTGGATGCAGGAATCCAAATCAAAGCATGCCCTACAGAAAGCTGTCTAGTCTCTGTCCGAACACATCCAGCAAAAGGCAGCCGATCACTTTGCTTGGTCCTTGCTTCCAACTGCCAAATGGCTCTTCTCATTTGTCCTTTTATCACTTGTCTAACTGGAATTTGCTCCCTTAGAAATGGAGAGGGTTACGCTGTCTCCTGATCTGGGATGTTGGAAAATCCTGGAGGTAGTAGTAGTAGTAGTAGTAGTAGTAGTAGTAATAATAATAATAATTATTATTATTATTATTATTATTAAAAAAAAAATTGGAAGGGACCTTGGAGGTCTTCTAGTCCAACCCCCTGCTCAGACGAGAAACCCTATACCATTTCAGACAAATGGCTGCCCAGTCTCTTCTTAAAAACTTCCAGTGTTGGAGCATTCACCGCTTCTGGAGGCAGGTTGTTCCACTGGTTAATTGTTCTAACTGTCAGGAAGTTTCTCCTTAGTTCTAGGTTGCTTCTCTCCTTGATTAGTTTCCACCCATTGCTTCTTGTCCTGCCTTCAGGCACCTTGGAGAATAGCTTGACTCCCTCTTCTTTGGGGCAGCCCCTGAGATACTGGAAGACTGCTATCATGTCCCCCCTCGTCCTTCTCTTCGTTAAACTAGACATACCTAATTCCAGCAACCGTTCCTTATATGTTTTAGCCTCCAGTCCCCTAATCATCTTTGTTGCTCTTCTCTGTACTCTTTCTAGAGGTTGTAAATACAACACAATATCTTGGAGAGAGTAGCAGCAAAGCACCTCCATGTGGCTGCCAAGAAAACTCAGTGGGAAGATCCCTAAAGACTTTAAGAAGGGTTGATGCTTGGGTGTCGCTGTGGTTAGAAGAAGTGAGACATAAGCTAGGAAGAGGCTGAGGACAGGGACAGAGCAATGAGAGCAATTGTTCCTTCTCACTCGTTTCTCCACATCCCCACCACCCTTTCATACTTCATAGAAATTGCTCAATAGGAACATCTCATAAGACCAGGCAGAGTTCTTTTTTTTTTTTTTTTTACAAATGTTGAAGGGTTTATCTTTGCCTTTAATTAGTATTTGTCTTTCTCCCTATTTTCAGATGACAATGGTAAGCCAGAAGATGGACCAATATCTGGGTAACTCTTCAAGTTTTTCATTTAGAACCAAACATATTTAGATCAAGTGGCAACTTTCTGTAACGTGACCAACTCTTTGGGTCAGTTGGACTTCAATCTCCATAACACTGTGCAAGCGTTGGACATGCTAATTGAACATCATAGCATATAACATTTATATATAAATGTTATAGTTCTTATAACATTATATAACGTTTCTGGAGCACATCAGGTTATGGAGGTACTTTATGTTACATTAAATTAAGTTAATTACATTAAATTTACATTGCCTTAGATTAGATTAATGTTAAGTTGCATTAATTTAAAAGCTTAAGTGTAGTTTTGTCACTTGTGCTTATCCCCAGTATCAAAACCTCCTTACTTTAAAAAAAAACCCCGAAGTGCTTTTCATATACCTGTTTTATTTGCAGTTTATTTTATCGTTTGGAGTTCTAAACTCTGTTTTAGTCACATTTCTTTTTTGTATGTGTGTGTGTGTGTATGTGTGTATGCATGTGTGTATGTATGGTATGTATATATATATGTACTGAACAGGAGCAGGATGGCTTTCCAACTTCCTGGTTAACTGTCTTGGACTTTTCTTAAAAAGAAGATGGGATAGGAATTCTTGAAATCAATGAATAAGTCGGCCAGGTAGTTGGAAAACAAACCTGTTCCTGGTCAAGCCATGCCCATGAACGGTTCCGTGGACATCTTGAACCGCAAGTCCAGGGTCCCGCAGAAGCTTAGTTCTGGCTGCAGTTGAGCGTGCCAAAGATAACCCTATACAGCATATTGACATCTGCCTAGAAAGGAATACTTTGTATGCTGGAGGGTCAGTTGTCCTACTGATTGGCCAATGTAATCTGTATCCTGTTGGGTGGAAACTGCTGCAAATGTGGAATCTTGGGACACAGCCCAAAGAAATATGAGTTGCCCTTATTGTTGTGTTTATTTTTATCAGACACACCGAAACTCATCCATTGCAAGACATTCCTAAGGAGACCAGGATCGTTATCAGTGAAGACCAAGAACTGTTGCAGCAGGTAAGTGACGATCCTCAAGTAGAAAGTCCAGCACAGCCTTTCCCAATCATGTGTCTGGCAAATGTATTGGACTTCATTCCCAGTCCTGTCCAACACAGACAATTGTCGGGTATTTTTCTGTCAAGGGCTGACTGCGCTCCTAGGAGAAATCCATGAAGAGATGGATGGGCAATGATGGGCAGAGCTCACACTAACACTAGTTGGGACCTACTTCTTCATGTCCTACTTTGTTGCCTCATTCTAGCAGGGGTGGGGTGTTCCTGGGAGAGATGACCAGAACTGGGAGTGTCAAGTTAAAGTAGAGGAAGAAAGTCAACCAGTTTCTATGATATGGTCTTGAGCACATAGCCATCATTTTCAAGCAGAACATCAAGAGTTATTTGGAAATCATGAACATCATTGATAGATACCATGCAAGTCTATGACTGCAATAAATATTGGATTGATTGGTGATTGATAGACAACCAGAAGAACTATGGATTGGATTTAAAGAAGCAATTAAGGACACATGGGAAAAGATACTGCTGAAGAGGAAAAAAAGAGAAGAAAGCAAACTGGATGTCAGAACAAACCATGGAAACTGCCAAGAAGGGGAGAGAAAAGAAGCCAATGCTGAGAAAGACAAAAAAAAACCCTTCTGAAAGACAATTAAGAGACAAGAAGCAGTATTACAACAACTGCTGTAAAATCACTGAAGATAGAAAAACGTTGAAAAACAAGAAACATTTTCTAAAAGATCGAAGACCTTGGTTGGAACACAGACATTCCTACCTCATATTGTTGTTGTTGTTGTTAATTGCGAAGTCGTGTCCGACCCATCGCGACCCCATGGACAATGTTCCTCCATGCCTTCCTGCCCTCTACCATCTTCTGAAGTCCATTTAAGCTCACGCCTGCTGCTTCAGTGACTCTATCCAGCCACCTCATTCTCTGTCCTCCCCTTCTTCTCTTGCCCTCCATCTTTCCCAGCATCAGGCCCTTCTCCAGTGAGTCCTTCCTTCTCATTCGGTGCCCAAAGTATTTGAGTTTCAACTTCAGGATCTGGCCTTCTAAAGAACAGTCGGGGTTGATCTCCTCTAGGACCGACCGGTTGGATCACCTTGCAGTCCAGGGGACTCGCAGGAGTCTTCTCCAGCACCATAGTTCAAAGGCCTCAATTCTTTGGCACTCAGCCTTTCTTATGGTCCAACTTTCGCAGCCATACGTTGCAACTGGGAAAACCGTGGCCTTGACTATATGCACTTTTGTTGGCAGGGTGATGTCTCTGCTTTTTAGTATGCTGTCTAGATTTGCTATAGCTTTCCTCCCCAGGAAATCTCATATTGGTTTGCTAAGAGACACCAATGGACAAACGGTAACCAGTTCAGTGAAGATCAAACAATAAGTAGAGTGCAGATGTCAACATCCAGATTCTTTAGAGTAGTTTTAGTATAGATGAAGTTAGATCAGTGCTTCCATTGTTACCAAGTTAGAAGGCTACAAAAAGTGATAGAAGAACTACAGAAATATGACCAGAAACAAAAGAAGTAATAGTAAAGGTTCCAACCATTCTGTAACAGCAACTCTGGAGAATAACATAGTGGCCAACAGAGATGTTGGTCTACATATCGATACCAAAAAAATGAGACTTTAACGGAGTGCAGATGCTATTGTATATTATCTTATTTTCTCATGCTAGCAACGGTTAGGATCATCTGACACAAATTAGAGTGCCACGTGGAAGAACTTACAAAGCTGATTTTAGAAACATTCAAGCAATAAGAGACCGATACATACTGGATAATTGAAAAAGCCAAAGAATACCAAAACATTAGGTAGTATATGCTTAATTGACAAAATGATAGTGTTGACAATGTCAGGCTATGGAATGTCGCTAGAAAAATGGGAATTCCAGATCATCTCATTGTCCTCCATGTACGTATATGCAGTCAGAAAGCCACAGTCCAGACAGAACATGGCAAAATTGGCTTGAAATTGCAAATAAGTGAGACGAGACTAGAGAATAACAGAGTTAGAAGGGATCTTGGAGGTCTTCTAGTCCAACCCCCTGCTCAAGCAGGAGATGCTATCCCATTTCCGACAAATGGCTGTCCAATCTTTTCTTAAAAACCTCCAGCGATGGAGCACCCAGAATTTCATGAGGCAAGATGTTCCCCTAATTAATCATTCTCTTTATAAATTATTACTATGCATATATAAGACTATATGTTCTTAATTAGTCAACCCACCTGTGGAATTTTTACCGAGAGAAGCTGGATTGGAAGAGGATGAATGTGGTTATAAAACTGAAGGAAGAAACATAATTTGCACAATGCTGATGATACTACTCTGGTCATTAAAAATGCAAATAATCTGGAAGCTTCATTAATGAAAACAAGCACGGTGAAAAAAATAGGGCTAAGATTAAATATAAACAAAAGTAGTGGTAACTGGTCCAGCAGCCAGCGCTAGAGTTGACGATGAAAATATTGAAGTGGTGGATGGCTTTTGCCTTGTAGGACCAACTATCAAGAGTACAGGGACTACCAGTCAAGTATTCCAAAGACTAGCATTTGCTAGGATATCTATGAAAGCCTTATAAAAGGCATTCAGATGCCCGGATGTGTCTATACCCAGAAAAATCAGAATTACACAAGACATTTTTTTTCCCTGTGACATTCTGTGGAAGTGAAAGTTGGGTTTTGACAGGACAGAAAGGGTATTGATACTGCTCACGTTTGGTGTTGGAGAAGACTCCCAAGAAATCCATGGGTAACCAAGAAAATAAACAAACCCAGAGTTCTCACCTGATGCACAAAGGACCAAGTTCAAATTATCCCACTTTGGAAGGATTATGAGAAGACCTAGCTCTCTGGAGAAGGCTCTGATGCTGGGAAGGATGGAAGGAAGGAGAAGAAGAGGAAGATGACCATCAGGTAGGTTCATAGGTCCAATCACAGTGGTGTTTGGGACACTTTTAGAAGACCTGAAAGACCAGCTTAGGGACAAACTGCCCTGGGGAAATTGTTGTCACTCTGGTTGGCAACAGTCAACACTAATCTGATAATACATAATCAGGTGGGCCCCAAATCCAAATTAGATGGAGCTACGTCTACTCTCTTTTTTCCCCATGTTCTTTTTTGACAACTCGCCTAGCCTGACTTCTAGTTTTTAGCCTAGCTTCTCATGCTTGACATGTTTTTGTGCTGTAGACCATCCCAAGTGGGGAAGATGAGGAGGAGGAGAGCGACAGTGACGATGATGACATTCGCGTCACAATTGGCAACATCAAGACTGGAGCCCCATCTTATATGTATGTGTTTACACCCTCTCCCAAATCCTGCTCTTTTCTTTGTGCCATCGTTGTGCAAGCTTTTTGAGATCTGCAATGCTTTGTTTATTTCATTTTTATCCTGCCTCTTATTATTTTTATAAATAACTCAAGGAGTTATTTTTCATGCCTAAGGCAGGATTAGAACTCACCATCTCCTGGTGATTGGCCCAAAGTCACCCAGGTAGCTTTTATGCCTAAGGCAGGACCAGAACTCATTATCTCTTGATGATTGGCCAAAGTCACCCAGTTGGCTTTCAGGCTTAAAGCAGGACTAGAACTCACCATCTCCTGGTGATTGGCCCAAAGTCACCCCCCTGGCTTTCAAGCCTAAGGTGGGACTAGAACTCACCATTGGCCCAACGTCACCCAGTTTTTCATGTCTAAGGCAAGACTGGAACTCACCATCTTCTGTTTCCCAGCTGGTGCCTTGACCACTAGATCAAATTTCTGCTGGCTGTACAAAGTCACCGAAGCGGCTTTCAGTTAAACCAAAGTGACTCAACCTGACACCATCCAGCTGGGCAGGCCTTCCACTCCCATCATTCCCCCAAAGCCAGTTAGAATGGGGGGAGGGGGCTACCAGCCCAGCAGGGTTGTCTCCACTCGCCCCCTCTCCTGGGTCAGCCTGTCCGTTCAGCAGATGATTGGAACTATCCAGTAACTTTTTTTTAGTGGGCGTTATGGTTTGATTTGAACTGGTCCAAGACCCTAATGATGGTCATTGGAACTAAACCCTGCATAGATTGCTCAGAAACTACAGTTCTGCTTTTATTCTTTTTTAGGGGGACTCCAATGAATCTGAATCTAAAAACGGGTCGAGGCTACGGAGCACCAGCATCAGGTATGAATGGAGCATTATTTTCGGTTATCTTTTTTTCTTTGGGCAAATGAATCTTTTATTCTGAATTATTTTTCAATACAATCAAAATGTCTTTGGGCAAATGAATCTTTTATTCTGAATTATTTTTCAATACAATCAAAATGGCTATCTCAGACCACATCAGTCCTTATAAGGTATGCTATTAATTAATTAGGCTTGTTTAATTAGCATGCTGATTCTGTTCTTTCCTTCACTCCTTCCTTCGTGTCCCTTCCCTTTCTTATTTCCTTTCTTCCTTCATCCCTTCTCCTTTCCTTCCTTCTTCCTTCGTCTCTCTGTCTCTCCCTTTCTTCCCTCCCTCCCTCCCTCCCTCCCTCTGTCCTTTCTTTCTTTCTTTCTTTCTTTCTTTCTTTCTTTCTTTCTTTCTTTCTTTGTTTCTTTCTCTCTCTCTCTCTCCCTCCCTCCCTCCCTCCCTCCCTCCCTTCCTTCCTTCCTTCCTTCCTTCCTCACCTCTACTCGCCATTTTTCCCCCATGGAGCAAAACAATGCATTGTGTTGAGAAACACACACACACATACACACACACACACACACACACATGCAAAGCTATTTTATTTGCAAAAGGGCAGGATCCGAAGCTAAATTTATCCAGGAAGAGATTTATCTTTTTTTGAGCTGCACACTTTCCTCATCCTGGGAACAGCTCCCCAGCCAGCCTTAAGCACTAACCATCTGTTTTCCTTTCTTCAAAGCCAAGTCGCAGCCTAAAGGTATTGATTTAGAGGCTTCGGGGAATATTAACGGCTTGCCGGTAATCGAGGTGGATTTAGAATCGTTTGAAGACAAACCGTGGAGGAAACCAGGTGGGGCCTCAAAGTTTCTTGTGGTAAATATGATCAACAGCTTTCTTTTTTTTTCCCCTCGTTATTTGGTTTGGTTTGGCCCAGCATCGCAGGGCCTTGGTGAGGAGAGGTGGGACAGGTGGATACAGTCTCAAATTTATGGGCCTGCTCTCCATAATGTGGTGGGGTGAAATTTAAGAGCAGCACTATCGTTTTGGAAACGGGGAGATCTTTTTCTGTGCAGTAGGACCACCTGATCTGTCTACCTGGGGTTGGATAAAAGGAGTCCCAGCGGATTTGACTCCGCTACTCATTGCCAACTCTAGGGAGCGATGCTCATCTCCATTTCAGAGCTGTTTGAAGACATTTCCACAGTCATGTGACCAGCATGACGTCACTGAAGTGCCTATTGATCTACTCGCATTTGCATGCTTTAGAGCTGCGAGGTTGGCAGGAGCTGGGGCGAGGAATGGAAGCTCATCCCGTCGCATGGCACCTGGGTCTTTCCAGCCAACAAACCCAGCATCTTAACCGCTGAGCCACCACACTGCTCCTTGATGTTGGACCCCTCAGATCAATCAGGGATGGGCATTTTAGTCCTTATAGCTCAGCTATTGAGCTTTCGGCGGCTGCGGCCTACCGATTTTCAGATAGCGTCATACAGAGAATTTCTCCCGCCTTTTTTTCTTGCTGCTCCTCATTTAGAAACTGAAATGAGGATAACCTTGAGGAAGAGCCTCAGAAAAGAGAAATCTGAGTCCAAACCAAGAATGTAATTGGAGAGAGTCTTAGATGGGACCTCCCTAGTTCTCTTGAACGTGAATGCATTGGGGGTGGGGAAGGCACATTTAAAGTTGCAAGATTGATGTACTTTTGAGGTAGAGCTATCAGGCTTCAAAGCAAGCGTGACACATTCTTCCAAGCTGAGTTCTTTATTGTTTTCACACCCATGGACCAAATCTTGGCGGACTCAGCCTAGAGATCATGCATGAGAAAAAGATGGTGAAGACAGCCCCTCCCTCATAGCTCACAGAGCGTATTGTAGATGCAGATTAAAGTAGATGCACGATCTCTAGGCTGAGTTGCCTCTTCCTCTTCTCGAATACATTCCTTTCCTCCTAGGGATCCACCTCCTCACTACATTCCACCACATTTGTGGGCTTCAGCTCCCAGAATCCCTCAGCCATCATGAGTGTGGACTTCAGCTCCCAGAACTCCACAGTCACCCTGTGTCAGGCTGAAAACAGGAACCATCTTTCCAAGCTGAGATCTCTATTGTTTTCACACCTATAGACCAAATTCTTGGCAGACTGAGGACTATTCCTGCATCTACAATATACTCTGGGCACCATTAGGGAGGAGCTGTCTTCACCCTCTTTCTGTCACATATAATCTCTGGGCTGAGTTGCCTCTTCCTCCTCTGGAATTGACCCCCCTCCCTCTTGGGAATCCCCCTCCTCACCACATTCCATCACAGGTTCAGACTTGAACACCAAAGAGATGAACACTAAGTCTACTTTTATTGTGGGGTTGCATAACAGAATCTGGCCACTCTCAATGCATCTCCCCCTCCCTCCTTTCTCCTAAACCAGGGGTAGGCCACCATGGCTCTTTTATGACTCGTGGACTTCAACTCCCAGAATTCCTGAGCCAGCCATGCTGAGGGGAAAGGGAGAGGTTTCCAAGCTGAGCCATGCTGGCTCAGGAATTCTGGGAGTTGAAGTCCACGAGTCATGAAGGGACCATAGTTCCCCAATGCTGGCTCAGGAATTCTGGGAGTTGAAGTCTACGAGTCATAAAGCGGCCTAGGCCTAGGCCAGAGGTGGGCAACCTGGGCTCTTTTATGACTTGTGGACTTCAACTCCCAGAATTCCTGAGCCAGCCATGCTGAGGGGAAAGGGAGAGGTTTCCAAGCTGAGCCATGCTGGCTCAGGAATTCTGGGAGTTGAAGTCCACAAGTCATCAAAGAGCCAAGGTTGCCTACCCCTGTCCTAAACAGAACTAGGGAGGGTCCAGCCTGAGATGTTTTCTCAAGTTACATTTCTGGTTTGGGCTCAGATTTCTCTTATCTAACTTGCATCACTTTCCCCTTGGAAGGTTATTCTCACGGCACTCACAGAAACAGACCTTGTTGGCGATATTTTTTTTTTCAAAGGGGAAGAAGAGAATTTCAGAGAAAACATCTTTTCTAGAGTTTGGTGTTTTTGCACCTATCTAGTCCAGAGAACCACAAACATAGGTGTGAATGGCTTGTCTCCTGTTGTACAATCCTCTCTCTGGAGTCTGCAGCCTCTTTGGATTCCTCTCCTCCCAGGGGTCTCCAAACTTGGCAACGTTACAACTTGTGGACTTCAACTCCCAGAATTCCTGAGCCAGCATGAATTGCCCCAGCCAGTTACTTTTTTCAGCTCTGTTGTGGCTTCAAACAGTCATTTAAACAAATGGTTCTAAGTCGAGGGCCACCTGTACAAAGTCTGGTTAATTTGTAACCCCGATTTGTGAACCTGCTTTGAATCCTAGTTTCGGAAATCATGGCTACGATTTTCATTGTTGCATTGAAGAGGGATGCCATTCAGACATTCACTAGTTATCTTTGGGATTATTGTCATTAGCATGTGTGTGTGCTCGCATGTCTTTGTACTCTAAATATATTTCACCACAAATGTTCCCAGATTTCAGGACCATGAGGATGTTTAAAAGATGAAACACTTTTCATCTCACAATCACCAACAAAACAATGGTGCCAAAATAATGGTCCCACCAACTCGTGGGGGTCCTCTGATTTGTAGGCCAGAGGTGACCTGTAGACGACTCGTGAAGGTTAACCGGGTGACCTTCAGCCTGCACAGGACCTAATGAATGTGTCTGGTCGTAACAGATATGGAAGTTATCCTTCAGTAAGATTTGGCGTGTTAAAAATTCCCACTCCTGGAAACAAAAAATACCTTGCAATTATGCTTAACTGTAGCACCCATTTTGGTGAAATATGACAGCAGAGATGATGAAAAAGGTCATTAAATGATGAAAAAGGTCATTAAAATTCCCCGTGAGTCATTGAAAGTCTTCCTAGGTGGGAGAATGTGGTGGAGCTTTGAAGGATACGGTTCTTGATTATTCTCTAGATCATCTTTTATAATTCACTAACTAGGGCAGGGCTCTCCAAACTTGGCCACTTTAAGACTGGTGGACTTCAACTCCCAGAATGGCTGGCTGGGGAATTCTGGGAGTTGAAGTCCACCAGTCTTAAAGTGGCCAAGTTTGGAGAGCACTGAACTCCAGGTGTCATATGTCAGCATCTCCTTGCTGTTCTCCTTTTCTTCTTTCCGGTAACTGTTATTTATTTTTAGTGGAAGAATCCCGAAAGAAGTTTTCTCTGCTGCAAAAGGAAGTTGGTACAAGCCACTTCTCCACTTCAGGGGCCCCCATTTCTTTCTTGCCGGAAGAGCTGACCTGCCCTGGAAGACCCCCTTTTCCTCAACGTGCTTCATTTCTTTCCAGGTGCCGACCTTTCCGATTACTTCAACTACGGATTCAATGAGGAAACATGGAAAGCCTACTGTGAAAAACAGCGCCGGCTTCAGCTGGGCCTGGAGCCTTCGGTCCCCATCTGCACGGAAAATAAGATCACGGTAAAAATGCAGAGCTTGGACACACACACACACACACACACACACGGACCAACAGGAGCTGTTTGTTTTGATTGTTCCATTTCAGAGTGAATTTATCAATAGGCATGGTTTTGAAAGGGCTGTTGTTAGGTGAAACATTTGTGAAGTGAGTTTTGCCCCAACGTACGACCTTTCTTGCCGTATTTATTAAGTGAATCACTGCATTTATTAAATTAGCAACACGGTTGTTATGAACTGAATCTGGTTTCCCCATTGACTTTGCTTGTCAGAAGGTCACAAAAGGTGATCACATGATTCCCCGGGACACTGCGACCGTCATAAATGTGAGTCAATTGTCAAGCCTCTGAATTTCGATCACGTGACCACAGGGATGCTGCAACGGTCGTAGGTGTGAAAAATGGTCAAGAGTCACTTTTTTTCAGTGCTGTTGTAACTACGAACGGTCACTAAATGAACTGTTGTATGTCGAGGACCACCTGCATTTGAATGGGAGAGGCAAAGGGTTGTTCGTTAGCCTTGAATATCACTTGACAGCAAGCCCAGATTTAGGGTGAAGGAATATAAATTGCTTTCTGTCAGGTTCGCCGTAGCAGTTTCCTCACAGAATCCTTTTAGTTTAATTGGCCTAGGATCAATGCTTTTTCTTAGAGATTCACTTCTCATCCAGGAAGCTTCTTCAGACTTCTGACTTCAAGCTTCTTCATTCAGAACTGAAGAAACTTCTTGGATGAGAAACGAAACGTCTTCAAGGAAAAACAAAGATGGCTGCAACCATGCCAGTTGCCCTTTGAAAAAGCAACTTTGGGACAACCAAGCTCAGAGAGCCCCAAGGATCCCTCATTCAAGTTTTTATCCAATAAACCACGGGGAGGCAACCTTGGCTCTTTTATGACTCGTGGACTTCAACTCCCAGAATTCCTGAGCCAGCCATGCTGAGGGGAAAGGGAGAGGTTTCCAAGCTGAGCCCTGCTGGCTCAGGAATTCTGGGAGTTGAAGTCCACCAATCATAAAAGAGCCAAGGTTGCCTACCCCTGCAATAAACGTATGCCATTGCGACCATCATAAATATGAGTCAGCTGTCAAGCATCTGAATGTTGATCATGTGACCATGGGGATACTGCAACAGTCGTGTGAAAAACGGTCATAAGTCACTTTTTTCAGTGCCGTTGTAAGTTTGAACGGTCACTAAACGAGCTGTTGTAAGTCGAGGACTGCCTGCATAAATCAGACACACCAACAAGCTCCTCTCTTCTCAGCGGCTCCTTGGATGGACGGAGGAGGCGGCTCAGGTGGGGCAGCAGCCTCTCCTCAGGGGGGCCAAGATGTCGCCTGCGAAGCAGCCCACGGCCGGCAGTTTCATTGGACAGCAGGGACCGTCCCCTTCCCTGATTTAGTCCTGCCTCTCCTGACAGGATACGGGCAGTCTTCAACTTACGACCACAACATTTATATGCGAGACAGTTGTTGGGTGAACTTTGCCCCATTTCACGACGTTTCTTGCCCCGGTGGTTAAGTGAATTGCTGCAGAGGGTTAAGTTGGTAACACGGTTGTTAACTGTTGAACCTGGCTTCCCCGTCGACTTTGCTTGTCAGAAGGCTCCAGAAGGGGATCACCTGATTCCTCAGGACACTACGACCGTCATAAATATGAGTCGGTTGCCAAGCATCTGAATTTTGATCACATGACCAGGGGGATGCTGTAGCAGTCGTAAGTGTGAAAAATGGTCCTAAGTCCCTGTTTTTCAGGGCTATTGCGACTTCGAACGGTCACTAAATGAACTGTTGTAAATCGAGGACTTCCTGTAATCCAAAAGCTGTAATAATGTACAGGTGGTCCTTGAATTGCAACAGTTCACTTAATGACCAAAGTTGCAACGTCATTGAAAAGAGTGAGCTATGACCATTTTTCACACTTAACGACCATTTCAGCATTCCCAGGGTCACGTGATAAAAATTTGGATGACTCCTGTTTCTGATGGTTTCAGTGTCCTCAGGTCATGTGATCAACTTTTGTGATCTTATCAGCAAAGTCAATGGGGAAGCCAGATTCACTTAACAACAGTGTTAACAATTGCAGTGTTTTACTTAACAGTAGCAATTGAGGCAAGAAAGGTCGTAAAATAGGCCAAAATTCACTTAACCAATGTTTCACTTAGCAACAGAAATTTTGGGCTCAATTGTGGTTGTAAATCAAGGACTACCTGTACAAGAACGTAGATTTTAAATGCAATGAAGATGGAAAGCAAGTCAGTTTCGGACCTCAAAATTTGGATTCTTCGGAAGCAGATAGAAGACAATAAATTGCTTCTAGCCTGTGGACCAAACCAGAGTTTCTCAAACTTAACATGCATGGACTTCAAATTCCCAGAATTCCCCAGTCAATTTCTGGGAGTTGAAACCAGCGGTGGGATTCAAATATGTGAACAGCCGGTTCTCTGTGTGGATGCCGCTTCCGGAAGTCCGTTCTGGGTTTGGGCAACAAAAAATTAGCTACTGGTTCTGGTACGAACTGGCTGAATCCCAGCACTGGTTCAAACCCACAGATCTCAAAGCATGCTCACTGGGGAATTCTGGGAGTTGAAGTCCACACATATTAAAGTTGTCAAGGTTGAGAAGCATTAAATGTTTGCCTCTTCAGCATTAAAATGTACAATTAGGGTTAGGGTTATCCCCAGGCCCTGTCTTCTGTTCCCACGAGACGGAAAACAACTATCTATGGAGATTATCAGCCATCCAGGTCATAGTTATCCCAAAGATGCTTTTTCAGGAGGCCACTGGACTTTCTTGTTTTTCTCTGAAGACGTTTCGCTTCTCATCCAAGAAGCTTCTTCAGCTCTGACTGGATGGTGGGGAACGGAAGGATTTATACTCCTTGCAGACAAGCTGATCATTTGCATTCTTTTAAGAGAGTCCTTGAGGCCACCTGGAGGTTTATCTGTGTCCTCAATGTCACCTGAGTGGTGCAAATGGGCGTGGAGCCTTCTTGGAACTGCTGAAAGGACTGTGTTGTAGACTGGAGATAGATAGGTGATGTTGTATCCCTCCCCCTCTGTTGAGAGAGGGCAGTTCAGCTTTGACATAGACAGCCTCTTTGACCCCTCTTTCAAAAAAAAAAAAAAAGCATCTTTGAAAAAGCATCTTTGGGACAGAAAACAACGAAATCTTAACTTTGGGATTTGCCAATTAGATTAGTCATTGTTATAGAAGTGGCTAGTATCTACTAAGAGTGAGGAAAAAAAATATACTGTATTCTGCACTGAAAAAAGTCAGAAGTTAGTGCTTATTTTTTTTCCCTTTCCCCCTTATCCTACACTTTTCCTTCACTTCCTTTTCCCATTTCCCTGCCATCTTTATTTTCATTTGTATTTTGTACTACGATAATCTTAATTAAAAATAATAAAAAAACAGAAGGTACAATTTTTAAAAACCCAGTAGGCCATCGCTCTCTGAAGAACATTTGGCAAACGGATAGGTGTAAAAATAGCAGAAGGCTTTTCTGTTCGACAAAAATAGCCAGAATGTGAACACTAGAAAGTTTAGGAATTCCACATTAAAAGTTAGATCCATCTGCTCCCTCCTGCGGGAGAACCAAACCCCTCTCCACGTTAAGGTGCTTTACAAAGATGGTCCTCGACTTACGACCCCAATTGAGACTAGATTTTCCATTGTTAAGCAAGGCAGTTGTTAAGTGAGTCACATCCAACTTTATGACCTTTTGTTAAGCGAATTACTTGCAGTTGTTAATAACATGATTGTCAAGTAAACCTGGCTTTTCCCCACTGACTTTGCCTGTCGGAAACTGGCTGGGAACGTCACAGAGAGCAATCGGATGACCCCGGGACGTTGCAACCATCATAAATACAGTTCATTTAGTGACTGTTCAAAGTTACAACGGCAGTGAAAAAAGTGATTTACGACCGTTTTTCACACTTAACGACCATTGGAGCATCTCCATGCTCACATGATCAACATTCAGACACTCGGCAACTGACTCCCATTTATGACGGTCGCAGTGTCCCCGGGGGTCACGTGATCCCCTTTTGCGACCTTCTGACAGGCAAAGTCCATGGGGAAGCCGGATTCACTTAAACAACCGTGTTGCTCACTTAACAACTGCACTGATTCACTTAAGAGCTGTGAGAAGAAAGGTCATAAAAATGGGACAGACCTCCCAAATTTTGATCACTTGACCATGGGGAAGCAGCAAAGGTCGTAAGTACGAGGACGCTGCTTATCCAAGTAGCTTTTTTCAGCCCAGCTTGAACTGAAGAAGCCTCTTGGTTAAGCAGCGAAATATTTCAAACCAAAAAAGGAAAGAAGTCCAGTTACCGCGAATCCAGTTCCAGATGATTGTAGGTCACTTTTTCTAGTTCCGTTGTAATTTCAAACAGTCGCTAAACGAAGGGTTGTCAGCCGAGGACCGCCTGTCATGGTGGGATGGTGGCTGCAGAGGAGACTTCCATCTCCTAGAAAGCAGCAGGGGTAGAATGGTTGCTGTGTCCCTTTAAAGTCGACCTCTTTATTTAGTGAAAAATTGATGATTTCAATTGGAGGGTAAGGAAAAATATGATTTAAAAGGTCATTGAAGCACTGCAGTGTCCCAAAGATGATTTTCCTGAGGCAACTGGACTTACTTGTTCTTTCGTTGAAGGCATTTCACTTCTCATCCAAGAAGCTTCTTCAGCTCTGACTGGATGGTGGGGAACGGAAAGATTTATACTCCTTGCAGACTGCTTGTCGTTTGCATTCTTTTAGAGAATCATTGAGGCCACTTGGAGGTTTACCTGAGTAGTACAAATAGGTGTGGAGCCTTCTTGGAACTGTTGAAAGGACAATTTTGACACAGCTCTCTCAACAGAAGGGGAGGATACAACATCATCTATCTCCAATCTACAACACAGTCCTTTCAGCAGTTCCAGGAAGGCTCCACACCCATTTGCACTACTCAGGTGACCCTGAGGACATAGACCAGCGGTTCTCAACCTATGGGTCGCGATCCCATTTGGGGTCGATCGACCATTTCATGGGGGTCGCCAAGCAAGGCTGTCCGCCATTTTTTTGTCCGCCATTTTTTTCCCCTTTTCCGGCGGGTACCTTACCTCCCTTGGGCTGGGCCAGCTGGTGGTCGGCCTGCTCCGTCTCTGCCGCTTGCCAGCTACGCCTCGGTCAGCGCAGGGGGCGGAACCACACATGCGTGGCGCTCCCAGGCAAGGAAAGTCCTCAACTTACAACTGGTTGGGTAGGCCTCGACTTATGACCGGTTTAGTCCTCGACTTACGACCGGTTTAGTCCTCGACTTACGACCAGTTGGGGTCACGGCATTAAAAAGGTTGAGAACCACTGACATAGACAAACCTCCAGGTGGCATTAGCGACTGTCTAAAAAAATGCAAATGACCAGCTATCTGCAAGGAGTATAAATCCTTCCATTCCCCACCATCCAGGCAGAGCTGAAGAAGCTGCTTGGATGAGAAGCGAAACGTCTTCAGAGGAAAAACAAAGTCCAGTTGCCTCGTGAAAAAGCATCTTTGGGATAACTATGACCTGGGTGACTGAGACTCTCCATAGACAAGCACTGCAATGTTGTTGTTGTTTTAAAGGTTCAACAAGGAAGAACAGGCAATGCCGAGAAAGAACCCGAGAACAACATCGTCAAGATGGATTTTAAAACTGATTTTGTTGCTCTCGTTGGCGGAAGGATAAAAGCCGGGCCTCCTCCGAACAGGTACTGAAGGGACATCCACTTTTTGGTCTCTCGGAGGGCTGTTTTTTGAAGGACTTTTGCTTTTTCAAGGGCTTGAAGCATTCGTCTCCAGCTTTCTGGAGATTTGCAAGATTTCCAGCAGCTTAAAGTTTTCCATGGATAGGACACTGAACGTCAGATGAAGAATCTTAAGCTTCCAAGTACCCAGGCAAGCTAGAATTCAGGGAAGCCCAGATCCAACCCATCCGGGGAGGATTGATCCTTCTAGATCAGGGGTAGGCAACCTTGGCTCTTTTATGACTCGTGGACTTCAACTCCCAGAATTCCTGAACCAGCATGGCTGGCTCAGGAATTCTGGGAGTTGAAGTCCATGAGTCATAAAAGAGCCAAGGTTGCCTGCCCCTGTTCTAGATGGTTATCAAAAGCAAACTTGATCAACGCTGCAACAGGGAGGTGGCTGACCTGGAGGCAGATCCATCAGATTTCCCCCAACCTCAACGCTTATCACCATTTTGTTTATGAGATATAAATAGCAAATGTCTCAAAGCAAAGGGCTTGGTCATCTGCCCATCAGATATTGTTATTTGAACAAATATTTGAACAAATAGTAGAAAGAGTACAGAGAAGAGCAACAAAGATGATTAAGGGACTGGAGGCTAAAACATACAAGGAACGGCTGCTGGAATTGGGTATGTCTAGTTTAAGGAAGAGAAGGACGAGGGGGGACACGATAGCAGTGTTCCAGTATCTCAGGGGCTGCCCCAAAGAAGAGGGAGCCAAGCTATTCTCCAAAGCGCCTGAAGGCAGGACAAGAAGCAACGGATGGAAACTGACCAAAGAGAGAAGCAACCTAGAACTAAGGAGAAACTTCCTGACAGTGAGAACAATTAACCAGTGGAACAACCTGCCTCCAGAAGCGGTGAATGCTCCAACACTGGAAGTTTTTAAGAAGAGACTGGACAGCCATTTGTCCGAAATGGTATAGGGTTTCTCGTCTGAGCAGGGGGTTGGACTAGAAGACCTCCAAGGTCCCTTCCAATTTTATATTATTATTTTTTTTTCAAATATAAATTTTTTATTGTTTTCATCATAAAAAAAAACACATCACAAATACATCACAATGTAAAAACCCCTACCCCCCACCCCCCACCCGGACTTCCCAAACCTAATCCCAGGATACTATTCAACTAAAAGTAAACTAGTATTAATATCCCTAACTCCACAAAATATTATTCTACATAAGTAAGTGAA